ATCCCCCCAATTCCCCAATAAAAATCTTTAAAAAAATAAAAATAAAACACAAAAAGCAATTCCACTCTTAGGAGGTTATCCCACAGGTAAGCCCACCCAGGTGGCACAAGGATGAACGTTACAGCCCTGTTTGTGACAGCAAAAGGAATGGCAACCAACTAACTAAATGTGCAGCCATGGAAGTTATTGGAAATACAATGCTGCCCGCCATAGGATGGACTATTGGTGAGCACTCGAACAGTTGGGTAGATACTGACATGGAAACACGCTCATGACATGGTGTGGAATGATGAAAGTTGTGGAATAGTGTGTATGGCCGAGTTATATTTTTGTAAAAAACAAAAACGATGTGTGTATGTATTCATATATGGCTGTATATGCGTGGAAGAAGTCTAGAAGAATACACAGCTAACTGCTAAAGTTGTTACCTCTGTGGACTGTGAATGGGGAAGAGTGTTGTATTAGTTTGTGAGGGCTGCCATGACTAAACACCACAGACTGGGTGGCTTAAACAGAAATTTATTTTCTCACAATTCTGGAAGTCCAAGATCAAGGTGTCAGCAGATGTGGTTTCTTTGGAGACCTCTGTCCTTGGCTTGCAGATGGCTGCCTTTTTGCTGTGTCTTCACATGGTCTTTCCTCTGTGTGTACATGCATATCTGGTGTCTCTGTGTGTCTGACTTTCTTCTTGTAAGGACATCAATCGGATTGGGTTAGGGTCCACCCTAGGGACCTTGTTTTAATGTCATCACCTCCTTAAAGGCCTTATGTCTAAATATAGTCCCGTTCAGAGGTACTGAGGGTTGGTACTTCAACATTTGAATTTTGGGGGAACACAATTCAGCCCTCAACAGGGGCTTTCACTTATGATTATATTGTTAAAATTTGTTACAATAAACATTACTATTTGAGGTTTTTGTACACTTCAAGCCAAATGTCTCCTGAGCATCCAGCACAACTAAAGACACAAAAGAGGACTTCCAGAACTGCTTCAGAAAACGGCAAGAACAATGGGATAAGTGTTTGAAGTGAGGGGGAGTATTGTGAGAGGGATTAATGGCAATGTGTCTTTTACTGTAATAATTTTTAAAATATTTAAATATTCATTGTATTGTTTAATCACACCTTGTACATGCTCTGGACATTTAACACCTTGTAATCCTTCATTCCCTTTCACACCTCTCATGATAATGGCTGTACAACACTGGCCAATCAAATGAAACACAGGCAGGTGGTAAAGTAAAATATGAAGAGAACATTACAACCGGCATTAGAAGACTTGAAAGACTCTCAGGAAACAATGATGCATTGGGCTTAAAAATTCAGCCCTTGGGGAGAGGTGTAGGCGTTGGGTGGGGGGTCTCTCATCAGACCTGGCAGAATTCTCCTGCGTCCTGCTCTGGTCTCAAATTTCAGACCAGGAGCAGTAAACCCTCACACTACTGTGGTCCCAAATCTCACTGTACCGCCAGCCCTGCTGACATGGTGAATCTGCTCTTCTGGGCAGCTTTGCAACCCTGAAAGGTATGGAAGCCGGCAACGCCAACCCAGGATCTTGGTACCAATTAGGAATAAGTTTGCGATCAGCTTGCTCATATCTGAGTGTTTAAGGTTTTGAAACACTTGAGTCAATCTGTCCTATTTGATTTGTGATTTCAATTAGAGGGGTATGAGCAGTAGGCTGCCTGCAGCTGTAATAATTCCTCCCATTTCTGGATGCCCACCCTTTGTAATGGCACTTGGCTGCTCCTCTCAATAAGAAGTGGCATCTATTTCTCCAGTCCCTCAAATCTGGGCTGGCCTTGTGACCTGCATTGACCAACAGGGTGTGGTGGAAGTTCTGTAGTGTGACTTCAGTCAGGCCTCAGGGGGGCATTGTAGCCTCCGCTGTCATTCTCTTGGATCGGGGCCTTGAGATAATGATGCCATGAAGATGCCCAGTCTAACCCACTGGAAGGTGAGAGGCCACATGAAGCAGAACCCAATGGCCTCGCTGATAGCCAGCACCAGCTGCCAGTCATGTGAATGAGGCCATCCTGGGCCCCCAGCCCCAGATGGGTTGTGAGATGACTGCAGTCACAGGAGTGACCCAGGCAAGGCCAGCAGATGAACCTTCCAGCTTATCCCCAGCCAAATTGCTGACTCAGCACCCTGGTTGTTACTTTAAGCCAGTAAGTTTCAGAGATTTATTATACAACTATAGGTAACTTAGTATAAAAGGATCTAAGGTCATAAACAGCATTTGACTATTTGAGAGAACTATTTTACCATATTTATAATTTAATCTATTAGGGCATAAGAATTGCTTAACTGATCAGAAAAAATATATGCTTGGTTTGAGAGGGCAGAGTAAGGTGGGGCTGAGGGCACCTCTCATGCCCACTTCCTCCATATTTGTAAAGAAAAAAGGAACCAAAAAAAAAATACGCTTGTTAGATGTGTAAATCTCTTCTGTTGAGAGCTTGAGGTATTTGAGAAGCACAGCTATTTCAACTCTGTAAAATGTAGTTTAAATCTATTAGGGAATTTAATTACCTAAGTTTGTAATTGGCATTCATTTTTAGAATGTAATCTGTTGAACCTGTGAGTTAATTAAATATTCATCAAAGAATAAATGAGTTATTTTTATACAAAAATTAGATTTATAGAAAACTAGATTTGCAAGTTGCACTTGGATATTTAAGAAAAACTAATTCTTTTCTTAATTTATAAGTTTAATAAACATAGTATTAATTTAAACACAAGCAGCAGCAGGCAGTTTTTCTCTGCACAAAAGCCCCTTTCCAATATTAAAAACCCTCAACTGGGCTATAGCAACGCCTGATGCTATAGCCCCACTGGAAGATTTGGGATTCCACAGATTTCTATACCTTTGCTTCTTTTTTTTTTTTTTTTAGCTGAGCCATCCTGCCGCCAGTTGGCAGCTCAGCTCAGGCCAGGTCTTGAACCGCTGTTGCTCAGAGCTCATACTCTTGAGCAAGCTCTATAACCAACTGAGCCACTTGGCAGGCCCTCATACCTTTGCTTCTGTGGGTCCCTCTGCCTAGAATGCCCCTGACACACACATACACCTTTGGTACCCAGCAAAATTTTACTTTTTCCACAAGGTCCAGCTGAAACTATGAGGAGGTCCTGCTTGGCCCAGTGAGAATTATGCTTCTGCCCATATCCACTTGTGCGTGTGGCCCAGGCCTCTCTTAGACCAGACAGTGGAGGGCTGTGAGCTGGGACCTTCTCTGCTGTGTGAGAACAGAGCTGAGTCCCAGCAAAAGGACTGGTACAGGTGCCCAGGGTGCCTGGGTGCTTCAATGGCATGGCTGTGGGGGACATGGATTTCAGGCTCAGGGCAGAAGGCAGCTTCTTGATTGCGCTCTGAGACTCCGGATGGGGCCCCTGCCTCTCCCTGTGCCCTCCTCCCCACACCATCCTGGGAAGGGTGGAGTAGGCAGAATATTGGCCCAAGATGACCACATCCTAATTCCTGGCGTCTGTGAATATGTTATACTACATAGCAAAGAGGGATTAAGGTTGTAGATGGAATCAGGCACTTTCAACAGGGAGATTGTCATGGACTATCATGCTGGGCCCCAGGTCATCACAAGGATCCTTGCAAACGGAAGAGACTGGTCAGAGATGCACTGTCACCTGCTTTGAAGCTGGAGAAAGAGGGCTACAAGCCAAGGAATGTGGTCTCTGGAAACTGGAAAAGGAAAGGAAGAGCTTCCAGGAAGGAACACAGACAGCCCTGCTGACACCTTGATTTTAGCCCAGTGAGACCCATGTCAGACTTCTAGCCTACAGAACGTTAAAATACATCTGTGTTGTTTAAGCCGCTAAATTTGCAATGACAGCAATAGAAAACTTAATACACAGGGTCACCCACATGCTTCATTTCCTGAATCAGTGACATCTGTGTAAATCACTTTCCAGACCACAGATGGGAGCCAAACAACCTGAACCCAAGTCTGGGCTCCAACCCTCACAGAACGTGTTGACCTTGGGCCAGTCCAGCTGCTCATCTGTGCCAAGGGGCAGGCAGAGCTGCTTCACCCGGCTGTCAGGAGCACAGGTGCACCTAAGAGTTAATGGAGGTAGAGCGAATGGATGCAGACTGCTTAACTCTTCGCCAGCTGGTGCCTAGTGCCCCGTAAATGGTTGTTATCCTGATTGCAGCTGGCAAGGCCCTTCTTTCACTGCTGAGGTGACAAGTGGGGAGGTGACCTTGGGCATGGAAGCCTGACAACTGCATCCTGAAGTCATCTCACTGACCTTCTTTGGGAGAAGGCACAGGCCTTGCTGGCGGTCATGGAATGTTGGGAGCCCTTGGCTCTTCCTTCCTGGCCCCTGGCTCCTGACCTCCCCTCTGCTCTCACTCCCATGGTTGATCACTGGTGCCAGGTGAATCCACAGGCAGAGTCTGTGATCCTCCCCGCAGCCCTGGTGAGGGTTATTGCCACACTCAGTGCCAGAGAGGCCTGAGCACCGGGGCAGGTCTGCAACCAGCCACACCTGAGCACTGTTCTCCTAATTTACAGCTCAAGAAGCAAGTTGCAAGGGGCCAGCCACTTGTCACCTCCCCACGATAGGCCCCACCGGGTTCCTAGGGACTTGGGGTGGAACGGGGTGAGGGTGGGACCCGGGTGATCCGCGGGGAGACAAAATTCCTCGCACAGCTGGGGCCGCGCCTCGCTCTCCGAGTTCGGTACCGAACGACAGGGGCGGATGCGCAGAGGCGGGTCGAGGCCCCGTCGAGGGCCGGGAGGCTCCACCGACCAGGAAGTTGGCAGCGGCCGGGCCAGCCCCAAGAGAGGGGCTAGGCAGCCTGGCGACACTCCAAGAGCCTAAATGAGAAGGAAGGGGTTCCGGCGCTGCGCGACCCCTGGCGCCGGAAGCTGGAGAGGCCTGGGCGGGACGCGCACGTGTGTATACGAGTGCGGTGGCCCATCTGGCGGCCCGGACTACAAGTTCCAGGGTGCCCAGCGGCGCGCCTGGGTTTTCTGGCCGCGCGGCCCGCTGTCTTCGAGCAGGTCGCCGCGGGCTGGCACGCGCCACTCGGTTCCGGAGTAAATAAGGGAGAGACTCTCCCGAGCACAGTAATTGGAGTCCAAGTGGGCGGGGAGCCGTCCCGCGCCTCCGGCTCATGTCTCTGCAGAGCCGAGTGTCCCGCCGCCTGACACAGCTGCGCGTGGAGGGGCAGCTGTTCGGCGCTCCGCGCCCCTGGCCCTGCCCCTCGGCGGGTGCCACGCGGACCCGCGGCAGTGCGTGCGCCCCCCCGGCGTCCCTGGGGGCCTACGCCCCCCGTGCGCGGATCCCAGCGGGAGTTGGGGCTTGGGGGGAGGCGGCCGTGGGGCCAAGAGCTGGGGTGCGCACCTGGGCCCCCCTGGCCATGGCGGCGAAGGTGGACCTGAGCACCTCCACAGACTGGAAGGAGGCAAAATGTAAGTGTAAGGGGGGGCGGCGCAAAGGTCGAGAGCGGCCCCACGTGGGTCTTCCGGGGTAGAACGGCACTCCACCTGCAGTCTCTTCCACCCGAAGGCATGGGGAAGTTGAAGCCCCATATGCCCTGGTATGGGACCCCCATTCACAGCCAAGCCCCTCAAACCAGTTCACCCAAGACAAGGTCCCCTGTCAGGGGCAGTGTGAAGAAGGCGACCTTACCCCACTGGAATGGGTAACAGGGCACCCCAGAGATCATCCAGGACCTACCACCTTACTCTGTTGTGCAGGAGGGAAACTGAGCCGAATAGCCCAAGGTCACTTGGAGTTTATGGCAGGGCAGACATCAGGTTTCCCAACTGACATTAGGTTTCTGAACTCCCAATGCTTTGCGTAGTATGGTTTCTCAAGTGGTGGCATTTTAAGCAGAGTAGCAGGGAATGTGCTGAGGGAACAGCTCTATGGCCGGTGTCCCACCTGGTGGGATCTGATAGCCCCAAGGAGTGACTTCTCTGGGCAGGCCTGTCCTATCGTCACCCCCCCTCTCTGCCAAGGGCCTGCCTCTCTGGGCACGTGGTCTGGTGCCCTTTTGCCCTCATCACTGGCCTCTGGCCTATTGTGAGCAATCTCTGCCCCACTCCTGGGGGACACAGGGCAGAGGGGCTGGGAGGCAGGGCAGAGGTGGGGCATTGTGTCTGAGAACCCTGGTATTCCCTCCCCCCCCCCACCCCCAAGGAATCAAGCCACTTCCTCCAGCTCCCTGACGGGCATGAGTCCCAGGCGCCCCTGCACAGAGCTGGGAAGGGAGGCAACCCGACCTGCAGAGCCCCAAATAGCCCAGGTTGTCGTCCAGCTGCCCCTGCCGTTCAGGGCCTGCTCCCTGGGCCCTTGTGACCATTCCCGGCTGGATCCCCTTTCAAAAGGGCAGGGAAAGCAGCTTATTGGCTGGGCCCGCCTGTGGAGTGACTTCGGCCAATGGGACTGAGAAGGCAGGCCTGGGGCGGGTGCCGTTAGGGGCTAAAGGGAAGGCATCCTCTCGGGATTGGAGGTAGAGTTCAAGATGACTTACCCCCAACACGAATTGCATGCTTATGCTGGGATCTTAAAGCGCTGCGGGCAGAAAGCACTTGACTTTGTTCGGTGAGCCCAAGGAGTGCTTGTCAGGCCCTTGGCCCTGGCCCCAGAGCGCCGGTCAGGGCAGGGAGTAGGGGGCTGGCAAAGATCCCTGGCAGGGTCCCCACTGCTTCCCCTTCTGTGTCAGGGAACAGCAACCCAGGGTGGTGGGGAAGAACTAGAGAGGCCAGGAGCCCAGGCACCTGTTCTGGGTCCGCCTCGGTTTCTGGGATCCAGCTCCCTGCTCCCTCCCATTCCTTGGTGCCGCTGAAAACTTCCAGACCTCATGAAAGCTGATGGGCCAGGGATTCCCAGGCTACCGAGGTTTCTCTCTGTTTGGAGCTGGGCTCTCCATTCAGTCAGTCCATTTCTACTGTGCACCTTCTATGTGGCCAGCACTGTCCCGGTGCCGGGGATTCAGCCATGAGTGAGACAGGCAAGGGCCCTGCCCTCCCCGTGCTTCTACTCCAGCGGGAGGAAACCAAGTAGAGAATGTGGCCAGGCCAATGGGACAATGCCAGGGAAAGGTCAAGGCTGTGGAGAAACCCTGGCAGATGGGCCGCCTGAGCTTCAGCGTCCAGTCAGGGGGCGTGTGAGGAGGGCAGCCTGGCCCCAGGCACCCCAGCACCAGGTGTGAAGCCCCCGGCAGGTGTCAGATGGTAGCTTATGGGGGTGAGACACAGAGACCTCTGTTTTAGTTATCTATTACTGTGTGACAAATTACTTTCGTAACCAAGTGGCTCAAGCAGTAAACACTTCTCATTTCAGGGTCTCTGAGGCTCAGGAGCCTGGGAGTAGCTTGACTGGGTGGTTCTGGCTCAGGTGTTCTCAGGAGGCCTGGGGATTTGGTTGGGGCTGGAGTGAACCGTTCCCAGGGAGCTCACTCACGTGAAATGGCTGTTGGCTACAGGCCTCAGTGCTTCACCACAGGACCTCCACAGAGCTGCTCGAAAGCCCTCACGACATGGCAGCTGGCTTCCCCCAGAGCACGCGATCCAAGCGAGGGAGAGGGAGGTGATCAAGCCAGAAGCCGCAGTGCCTTTTTGTGATTTGCTTTATTCCAGGGCTTAGAATCGAGTCACGGAGTCCGCGCCACATTCCAGGGTAGGGAAATTAGTCTCTACGTTTGAAAGGGAAGACGATCAAAGAATTTGGGGCATATTTTTAAACCACCGCCCTGGGGGCTGCCTCAGCTGGACTCTGCCTCTGATTGGGGTCCGAGCTTTGGTCCTTGAAGACCTCACACCTTTTCTTCATTTCATTCCATTTACACTTGGGGCAGAGTTAAACTGTACAGGGAAGTGCACCAAGTGTACAGACCTTCAGTGTACAGTCAGTGCTTGTACAGAAGTATCCATTACCTCTGTGCCATTACCTCAGAAGTTTCATTTAAGCCCCTTTATAAGCAACCCATGTACGGCTAGTTACTCTTATCTCTTCGCTTTGTCTCTCCTTGAACCTCATATGAACAGAGGCATACAGTGTGTCGGCGCCTCTTACTCTATATCTGTGCGATTTGTGCACATTACTGGGTGTGTCAATAGTTTGCTCTTTTTCATTGCTGTGTAACATTCCACGGTGTGGATGTACCACAGTTTGTGTCCCCATTCTCTTGTTGATGGGTATTTGGGTTTCCAGTGTGAGACTGTTGGCAGTAAAGCTGCTCTGAGTATTCTTGTACATGTCGTTGATGGACATGTGCTCTCCTTTCTCTCGAGGACATACCTACTAGGCCTCTAAATGCCCATCTGTGCCTGAGATGATCCTCTCTCAAAGACTGACACACAGTAACCAAATTCACAGGAGACCAATGTATAGGTCAGAAGGTTGTTGTGAAGTTCACAGTGGGGAATTATGGCAGGAGGTCTGGAAACTCTTGTGTGCCTGGGCAGGGCCTCCTCTGTCTGTGAAAAAGCCATGCGGAAGCCAAACTGTAGTCTTAAGTTTGCTCAGCGTCATGTGTTCTCAGCTGGGGAGCTGGTTGAATGATTTTAGAAGCTGATCCCACTGCCCTGGGCAGGCTGGTCAAGCTTCCCTGCCAGGCATGGACTTACCCACCAAGGATCCCCTTCCCTGGGCGCTTGCCCAGTATTTCAGTCTGTATGCAGTGTTGCGTGCCTGCTTGGGGCCCCAGGTGCAGGTGCCTCAGCCCATGGCTCAGTGAGTCCTCTGGACAGATGGCCAAATTCTCCCTAACCCTGAACGTTCCTTCTCCGCCTTCAAGCAGGCTGCCCGCTTCTGTGGATCCATTCTCCCCCTAGGTAAGTAAGTACCACCAGGCTGCATCTTCCTGGCTAAGAGACATTCAGTCTTTTGAGGAGATCTCTGTAGTACCTGATTTCACTGGCCAAGGTTAATTTCTCTAATTTCCTCATTTCCCCCCCAGAGTAGTGCCTTTTGATCAGAAAATTGTGGAAACAGTTGTGCTGTAAAGGCGGTTGGGTATGAGGGGCCTTAAGGTTGGGCACTGGGGGGCGTCTGGGGGCTGTGTCACCACAGGAGGGTCCTGGTCTCCAGGAGAAGGGCCACGGATCCTCCTGACCTATTGTGGGGGCAGAGGTGGGTGCTAAAAAGAGAACAGGTTTTGGTATCATCAGCCATGGGCCAGTTCCAGCACCACTGCTTCCATGCTTCCCGAGCCTCAGTTTCCTCATCTATGGAATGGGACCAACAGCAACTGATTTGTAGTTTGTGCTGGGATCACATCAGAAATCGTTTTGTGTGCAGCGGCTCACAGTGTACAGAAGGTCCCCAGTGGCCCTCTTCCTTGTCGACCTCTTGGCTTGTCTCCTCCCTCTGTTCTGGTCATGTCGACACTGGGCGTGTGTAAACTTGTCTCCCACGTGGCCTCAAACGTTGGAGCCTGACCCGCGTTTCCTCTACCTTGTGACTCAAGATAGGATTCACGTGTTCCAGCCTCAATGTGCACTGGGCAGGGGCAGGGACTCATCTGAACCCCTGTGGGATTTCATGCAGAGTGGATGATTTATCTGATTCAATTGCTGAACTGGGAGATTTTCCAGGCACACCTGGGAATTGGGGAGGCCCTCTCCTCCCTGTCTTCTGCGGAAGCAGCCTTGGCACGTCCCAACGCAGTCGGAGGTGATGGGCCTAGGGAGAGCAGAAAAGCTCCGGGGGACCTCATGCTCTTTGTCCCTGCTGCCCGTGCTCCGGGCTTTGACAAGACCCTGCTCTTGGGGGATGGTGCACCCAGGTGATTAATGTCCCTGCCGCTGTTCCCAGAGCCCAGCCTGTTATCAGCCCTGCCCACCCGGCCTTCTCCAAAAGGGGAGCCTCCCTCCGTGCCAACCTGCCCTCACCTTTCTGAACACCATCTTGCAAAGTGCCATAAAGACACTTCTTAAAACACATCATTGAGTCCCCGCTCGTCCACTGCACTTTATGGTTCTGGTGCAGCCCGCTTCCTCCAGCTCTGCTTTTGTGCCCGGGAGCCGCTGAAAGCTTCATCTGGGGTCAGGCCTCCCCATCAAAATTTACTGCAAACATCTTTTTACAACACCTGTCTCACTGAGCTGTGAAATACTCTCGCCTCTCCAAAAAAGAAAGAAAATTAAAACCTATGTTGTACATACTCTATAAGAAAAATAAAACTCACTTATGCTTTAAGTCTGCATCTGTCCTTTGGGCCGAAGGAGGTGGAAAATGTTATACATGTGTGGGGCATCCCAGCTGAAGGGCCCTGCTGCTGCTTCTCGAGTGAGTGAGGAGGCCTGGCGGGCAGCCTCGAGGACAGAGGACGCTGAGGCGATGATGATCGCACTCAGTGAGAATCGCTGTTGCCTTCTCCTTCCCCATAAATCAGAGACCCGTGCAGTGTGTACCTTGCTCCTCAGGGATCAGCCAGGCCACCTCCTGGAGATGAGGACAT